TAATCAAAGCTGCAAAGTCCTTGCTGCACTTCAGCTGGTACCTTGCAAACCTCCTCATACGAGCAGCACGATTACGTGAAAATTTTCGCGCCACTAAGGCGACGCATCTGTTTAACAACAGGCTGTGGACCACCGTGGACCAAACGACACAAAATTATCCACAAAGAAAACAGAGCGATGGACTTCATTGTGTTCAGAGAGCGCCGCTCTTCTTGTTTATCCCGAAACCGTCGCACGCACCATAATGACGTAAGCGTGCTCCGGCACGAATGCTGAAACCCTATGTGAGTGCAGGCCAGAGGGGGAGTGGGGAGGGGGGACAATCGTACTCGGGCCCGGTTCATGGCAACCGTGCCTAGTGTGAGTACACCCTTATTCAAGTCTCTAGGGCAGGGTTCCTCAAACTCGGTCCTGGAGGGCCACTGTCCTGCAGAGTTTAGCTCCAACCCTGATCAAACACACCTGAGCAAGCTAATCAAGGTCTTCAGGATCACTAGAAACTCACAGGTAGGTGTGTTTGATCAGGGTTGGAACTAAACTCTGCAGGACAGTGGCCCTCCAGGACCGAGTTTGAGGAACCCTGCTCTAGGGTCTAAACATACCCTGAGCTTTCCAGTGCAGGGTTTCAACGACCACTAGGGAATTAACCCAGTCTGTGGGTTCCGTGACTTTAACAATAACGCCTGCTTTTTCCATGCTGTCTAGCTCCTCCTTGAGGCTGCAGGATCCAGGAGTATAGGACATTCTCCTGGAAATTGACCAATCCCGTGAAAGACATCCTTGAACTCTTGCATGAGACCACCGGGTTTGTTTATATCTGCATCAACTGAAAAAACACTCTTTATCAGCCCGATGCCCATGCATGTTCTCAAAAGCATGGGAGGTGCATGTGTATTCACTATGTAAAATTCCAGCAAAGCTTCTGTGTCTTTTACATGTCCCTTTTACATCAAGTGACTCTCCGCCATAGCCTTTAAGACGGCCGATCATGGGTTTCAGTTCTGTTGTGTTGAAATTTTTTTTAAATTTACTGGCTGGAATAATGATCAACTGGGCCTCAGTATCCAACTTGAAGCTAACTTTGTTTGCTTGAGGTCCTAATTTAAGTTCCTCAAAATCCTGTTCACATTCTGTGTTAATTGCATCAAAACACAGTTCATCCACCTCTAAGATGCATGTATTGTCCACTGTGTGTACAGTTCTACGTATAACAGGTTGTTTTGATTTACATACCTTGGCGAAGGGGTTGAGTTTATTGCATATTTTGCGAGTGTCCCTTTGACTGTGTTGCTGTGCACATTTTGCTTAACACCGCATGTGCTGCACTGTTCTGTGCTGCCGCTGCATGTTAAGTCAAGTCACCTTCATTTATAAAGCGCTTTTAACAATATGGACTGTTTCAAAGCAGCTTTACAGTTATAATAGGAAATTAACGTAACAGATTGTTTGGCTTTACAGCAGCTCTAGAATAAAGCTATTGTCCAGCTAAAGTTAGTTTTTGATTGATTCACTTCCGTTGCAAAGATCATTAGTTATTAACTTAGGGGCCGCTAACACGACACTGCTCTAACAGAAAACAGAAAACCATATCGAGAAATAAATAAGAGCACACATGTTTGTGTCTGACTTCAGTCTTTGCTCGATGAACACTACTCCAACATGTATGAAAAGGAGTGAAAATAGGAATGAAACTTTGAATATCTATAGAATGAAAGTGTGAATATATGGAATGAAAGTGCAAATTTGACAGTACTATATATATTATTGGTACTATATATATATTACAGTAGTATATATATATATATATATATATATATATATATATTGGCTTGTATTGTTTTAATTTTAGCATCATTCAAATTATAAAATTATTTACTTTTATTAAAAAGTCTAATATTAATTATTCTGTCCCTTGAGAGTTTTGCAGCATCCCTCCACCACTCCTCACTCTCTGCTGGTTCCTATCCCAGTTAAGGATGGGGGAGTACTCTGGGTTTGGGCCAAATCCCCCCTTGGACGGCACACCAAATATAGGGCATACTTTACCCTGATATCTGATTACACGTACATGTGAAATTGTATATTGATAAATTATTCATCTGCTTAATGATTTAGTGCACTAACACTGCTGTAGTTTATATAACAGCAGTCTCTGACAGCACAATGCTACTTTGTAGTAGCTAAAATGAACTATTTCCTTGTCAAATTAAAATGATATCTTAGTTTTACCACAAATATATATCATCTGTCATTTTATTTTCTAAAGATATGTCCAGATGTGCAGTCTATCAATAACATTTGAGTGGCAACACTAGGAACGGCCACGAGCTGGCGGTGTGAACGCAGCTTTACACTCAATCATTTAGATGAAAATTAATAGGGTCAAATTGTAAACATTAAAATACTCAGTTTCAATATTATAGCAACAAGGAAAAAGGCAATATATGTGTTGTTATTTTAGTGTGTAATCACTTAGTAACTTGTGTAAAGTTATTACATAATTTGACAACTTATAAACCCTATACACCAGGGGTGTCCAATCCTGTTCCTGGAGATCTACCGTCCTGCAGAGTTCAGCTCACACACACCTGAACCAGCTCATGATCTTCAGAAGCACCTCATTACAGACGTGTGCGTGTGTGTGTGTGTGTGTGTGTGCGTGTGTGAAGCAGGACGAGGCCGAGGAGGAGCGGAGGCATAAAGGAGGAGCGACGACAGTGGAGAGCGAGAGAGGCCAGGCCTGGACTATTTTATTTGATGTTTAGTTTTATTATGTGTGGCGGCAGTCGACCGTGAGGGAATGCCGTCTTTACTTTCGTTTTTGTATTTGTTTATTTATTTGATTAAAATCTTGTTGAATGTTCGCCGGTTCCCGCCTCCTTCTTCCCATAACATCTAACTTCTGTACAGACTGTAAAAGTGATGATTTAAACAACTTTACAGCTCAAATAATACAAATTTCTAAGAAAAAAAATAGCGCAAGCGCTTTTATAAACTTAAACACTTCAGCTTTTAAAACCTTCAAAATGACATTTCTTTTGTAAGTGAACTTCAAACAGATTTTTTTCTTTTTCTTTTTGTGGCAATCAATATGCCACAAATGCTGTCAATTGAGCGTAATTTGTATTGAACCCAGAACATTATTTTAATAATAGATGGGTGTAGCAGGATTGTGAATGCCCCTTGCTCAACCTTCCTCAGTCCCCCGAGAGCTCTGACACAAACATTAGTGGTGAAAACAGATCTACAGTCAGACGGTGGATTCCTGTGGACACATGCACACCACGGCTGAACTTCTGCACGCCTACATTCTTGGCTCTGTGAAAACAAACTGCAAACCCTGTAGGAGCAGTCATACTGCACTCATCGAATTGGACCAGTGACACTCCAAATGTATAATATATTAATATGTGAAAATATTACATTTTAGCTTAACCTTCTACGGTGGGCGAGAGAGCTCAACGCGCTGCAACTGAAGAAAACACATGCAAATAGAAAAACATCTTCATCAGTTTCACAACACATCTGTGCTCCAAATACTCACAACACAACCAAATACAGAAACGCACAGCAAATAGCACAGGCCACCACTGAAATGTTTCCAGGAGACCCAATAAGTGACGAATGGCCACCGTATTAACCTCTTAAACCTCAAGAATATCATTCTACACAGGGAATCAAACAAACAAAGAAAAACATCAAGTGGGCTCAACAAATATTGGCACCCTTGGTAAAATTTTGTGTTTGCAATTTCTCCTGTTATGCCGGTACACATTGTCTTTCGTCTGGCTGTCCCAGATGAAAGATGACCAACCTTGGCAGTTTCTGGGGTCATGGCTCCTGAACGCTGGCCCTCTGTCGTACAGTTAGAGAGAGAGGTCCAAAGACGGCTGTTGTTACGGTCTTGTGAATTTCATGCAGAAATTTAGCATGATCATCTCACAGTGTGTTTGTGCTACGACCTACGTCTACTGACTAGCCAATAAAATTGCAACATGAAATGCTGTATTGATCAATGCGACATGGTGCTAAAAGTTAAAACCATTACCTCAAGATCAGATTGCAAGATTGGCATGCCATGTTGGCCTCTGTTCTCTAGCCATGACCATATTCTACTCTTTCACTTCCTCCTCTTTTTTCAGAACACATAAAAAAACACAATTGCTAGTTTCAGCCCTTCACGTCCTCACGCTGTTTAAATAGCAAATGCATTTGCGCCCATCTGTGGCCCATGGGCTGCTGGTCTGAGAACGAGTGTGTGTTCAGGAGCATTGCTGGAGCGTTGCTATTCTGAGGAACTGAAATAGACTGAGCCGTTGACCAACCGAACCCTGGGATAAAGTCAATGGCACAGTATTTTATTTGTTATTTAAAGAGTGCGTTAGTAATGTGAGCCTATAGGCGGGTCCACAACGCGCGTACACTGCTTATTACACACACATTCTGCTTATTACACACACGCGCAGCAGCCCACAAACATGCCAAATATTAAAAATAAAAGGATTACAATGTAAAAGATTATTATTGTGTACATAAAGATTTGGTGGAATCCGGCTTGTCCTGTAGATGATCTGCTGCTTTAACCTCACACACACACACACACAGCTTTAATGTAAATTGTGAATCCACCTCGGCGCGAGCGCAACTGGCTTTTAAAGGGAATAGGAGATGAGACTCTGACTGGCTTATTGCATGTTACGCTCAAAACACACTCATTACTCATTAAGAGAATCGGGACGACCCTTTTAGACCAGCGCCGGGAGCGCCGACCATTTGTCCCGTCGTTAAACTAGCAGAAGTGGATTGAGACTTGTGCCGTTGCGCTGTAGACCATGCGCTTAGATCGTTAAAATAGGGCCCTTAATGTTTACTTTGTTTCTTTCAACTATTTGACTTTAATTCAAAGATTTATTGTGACTATTTTGAATGAATGATTTTCAGTTTTCAAGGGTGCCATTATTTGTGTACCCGCTGTCCAGTGTCTGCTCGCGTGAGCTCACCCGCTTCAGAGAGATCCCGTAAGGAGCTGCTCAGCGCACTCCTCTTCAGGCCCTCGCCCATGGCGTAGGAGTCGTCCAGGCTGGTGCGGCCCATGCTGCCGTTCCCCGTCTCCTTCTTCAGGCCAGACATGCTCTGAGACATACTGGGCCGGACCACCCCTTTCTGCTTCTCCAGCTCCGCTGCAAACAGCCAAACACACACGTCATTCATATAGCACACACTTCCACTCGGACAACAAACGACAGCGGTTTGCTTTAGCGGACAGTCATACCTCATACTACTCTTCCATAACATAATAAAGCATAAAAATCTAAATGACCCTGGCATGTCCATCAGAAATGAAGGCGACAACAGCGAAGCCAAGCGAGAAATTAGGATAAATGTGTAAAATAACATGAAGTGTTATCTGACGTTCATCTGATTGATATTCACATGTGAAAGATTGGAACGCAGTGGAACCTGACCTCTGAACTCTGACCCTTACAATTAAACATGCACATGACATTAAATATGCATTCCTGCAAAAGCAGATTTTTGTTTACTGTGAGGGTTTCTGAACGAGTCATTTGCGCAGTTTCTGCTCTCCTTAATCCTAACAGCTGTAATCCTGCCTCCGTTCACTCGCTCTGCAAAGAGCATGATGCTCAGTGATGTCCGAAATCTACATCTCACAGAACCGGGTCTGGAAAAGATGAGGATCAGGAAGAATAAAGGTCTGTTTACACTCTATCCGGTACTTCTCCATCTCCTGGACTTCGGCGATGGACTCTCGCAGGTCGCTGAGGAACTTCTTGCGGTCCTGAGGGTTGGGCGCATTGAAATTGATCAGGACTTTGAAGTCCGCACCTGGAATGGCTGAAGTCAGCCGGATACCATTCGGATAGACTGAGAAAAATAAGAACACGTCGTTTTACTTCAGAAAAAATTAATTATATATTTAAATGGATTCTTATAGTACATCTATGCAGGACTGAGAGTGCCATGAAATGAAGGAATAACATATTATTCTTTGTTATTAAGTCAAAAACAAAAATGTCAATAAATCACTGAATTAAGCTACATAAATGCATCACATACTGCAACTTTAAATAGACTTTATCTATCTGTGATTTATTTGTATATTTTGCTGGTGAATTCCTGATTCCTTCATTTTTAAATGACACTACAGGAAGACAAGTTTTTGTTTCGTATTCATTTCTGATTGTGGATATATTTCTTACACTGGTTTTCAAACAGCATCACTTGCATCCCGTTCAAAGAGAAAGATTGCCTGAAACTATATGTCACTGAGTTCTTCTTCTTTTGGAAGATCTTGGTAACCTGTCACAGAAAAGCAACAACCACAGTGATCAGTGGCCGCATCTAACGTTTGCTGATATCTGTAGAATAACACATGTGATCATGTGTGTGTGTGCGTGCCCTCACCACCAGCAGGTCATGTGATCATGTGTGTGTGTGTGTGTGTGTTTGCTCTCACCACCAGCAGGTCATTGAACAGGAAGATCTCCCGCTGATGCTGCCCGAGTTTCTGCAGTCGGTTTGGATCCGGGACCTCGAACAGTCTGCAGTAGCACACGAGCCTGCGGTGAGCCTGAGACAGCACCTGACACACACACACACACACGTTACACTCACGGCTATGGGTTTTTATACTCAACTATGGTATTTTCTACTTGGCTCTTACTGTAAATGCAACCCATAGACAGACTGTGTTTTTGCATTTTTAGAAAGACATTAGTTATGTTTATTAAGCCATTCTTTTCATGAGGACTGTTGGCTACTCCCCACAATGTAGCTAATTTCACGCACGCACGCACACACACACACACACACACACACTCACAGGTTTCTTTTGCTATACTTGAGGACATTCCATAGACGTAATGGTTTTTATACTGTACAAACTGTATATTCTCACCCCTTACACTAACTCTACCCCTAAACCTGACCATCACACACACCCACACACACACTAACTCTACCCCTAAACCTGCCAATCACACACACACACCCACACTAACTCTACCCCTAAACCTGCCCATCACACACACACACCCACACACACACACACACCAACTCTACCCCTAAACCTACCCATCACACAAAACTTTATGCATTTTTTCATTTTTAATAAAACACTGCTTAGTATGTTTTTAAAGCCATTTGAAATACAAGGACTCAAGAAATGTCCTCATAAATCATGTTCACGTTGTAATACCAGTGTAATACTCATGACGCCTCAACGCCGGCGATATGGACCCTCTATGGTGGACGGCACTGATCCTCAACAACTGGTCTCAATACCGGCGTGATTACTTCGACTTCCAAACAGATGGAAATGGATAAATACTCTAAATGTTCCGATCCAATTTGACTTGTAATGCTGCCTGAATCATGCACTGTTCCTTCGTTGGCCAGAGGAGAACTGGCCCTCCGACTGAGTCTGGGTTCTCCCAAGGTTTTTTCCTCCATTCTGTCACTGATGGAGTTTTGGTTCCTTGCCACTGTTGCCTTGGCTTTTGGCTTGCTTAGTTGGGGACATTTAATATTCAACAATATTATTGATCTGCCTTACTTCAGGTGGACGTTGACGCAATTTTCTTTTAGAAACAAACTTTGTTGTATTATTTTCATGTTATCACTGTGAAGCTGCTTTGATACAATCTGTATTGTAAAAAGCGCTATATAAATAAAGGTGACTTGACTTGACTTGACATTATACGAATTTCTGTCCTCATAAATCACACACACACACTCTCTCTCTCTCTCTCTCTCTACACACACACATTCATGGCTTGCCACACACATCATGAAGTATACTTACACATCCGAGGCCATGGTGATGCGATCCAATCTGTAATGCAAGAGATATATGAGTGAATCATGCAATTCACTGTTGATGATTCAAAATTGTTGTATCAGAATTGTTGAGAAATGATAAGAGCTCTTAAACTACACCTGACAGACTCTCATTATCTTCATCATTAATTACATGGGCAGTATCTGGGGAAGTCTGTATCTTTTAGCAACTTTTAGCAACTTTTGAGCTTACTTGCTTCTTGCCCACGATGAGTTTCTCCACCTTCTGCACCTGAGACACATGGTCATCATTCGTTTTCAGCTCCTTCTTCTGGATCCGCTCGTAAATCCCAACCAGCATCTCCCGAGGGATGTCCTCTCCATCATCAACCCCTTCCAACACACACACACACACAAGGCTATAACACACACTACAGCTACTGAACTGGCATGTCATGTCGTTCTATATTTGGACTCTCTGTGACCATGTATCAAGTCCAACTGAGCTGAAGCCATGGACTCATCCTCGACGGATCTGATGTACGCCTGTGACGTCAGCCCATTTATTGGTAACACTTTACAATAAGGTTCATTAGTTAACTACTTTAGTGAACTCAGAATGAACAATACTTCTACAGCATTTATTAATCTTAGTTAATATTAAGTTCAACATTTACTAATACGTCATTAAAATCAAAGGTTGTATTTGTTAACATTAGTTAATGCACTGTGAACTAACATGAACAAACAATGAACAGCTGTATTTTTATTAACTAACATTAACAAAGATCAACTAATACAGTAACAAATGTATTGCTCATTGTTAGTTCATGTTGGTAATAGTGTTGTAGTCAAGACCACCTAACCCGAGACCAAGACAAGACCAAGACCAAAGTGTATCGAGACCGAGACAAGACCAAGACTTTTAGGGGCCGAGACCAAGTCGAGACCAAGACCCAGGGAGGGCGAGACCGAGTCAAGACCAAGACCAGCGCCCCACACTACATGACACAATAAAATGTGAAACATGATCAAAAGAGCTTCTCAAATTGATCAAACACCTAGATATTAAACATTTAAAGCTGAAATAAACTTAACCATCTTTATTCAATACTCCTGGGTGACTTCCATCATTCAGTACAGAATGTAAAACACTATTCATTGTTCATCACTAAAGTCTTCACTTTTCTCCGCCTTTTATATACAATACATAAAGTTATGTTGTTTTTAAAGCAACAATAATCCTTTTTTTTAACCACATAGCTAAATGTGTAAAGAAATGCCAAACAGTCAACATTTAAAATGCAGAAAAGCAGTGTATTGTAATGAATACAGTAATTCTATGTGAAATGTTAATGTTTAGGAACAACTATTGTAAGTAAGAGTCTTTTATAGCTTTTATGTGTTATCAAAGCAACAAAAGATATCTAATACAAAGAGGTCAGAAAGTCAGTGGCCTAACTGCATGTGATTTATAAAAGTACTCAATTGATTTAATTGGGAGCAGTTTCATCATATGCCAAACCTTAACAAACTGCAGTGGCAAAACACTCTTCATAAGTTCAAGGCAAGCTCACTGCAATGGATAAACACATAGATGAGTAGCACTGCACAACACCACAAAAACATGACTGACTGACCATTTGATGTAGGCTACAGTACATTATATCCAGCATCTTTTACAGTGTGCAAAAATGCCCAAGATAGGTTTGGATAGGTTTTTTCGTTTATTTAAAGTGTGCATGGTTTATGTCAGCTGAATGTGCGGAACGCTTTTCAGAGAAGATAAGGTATTTTAGCACAATTCACACCCAGCGGTAATTCAGGAAAAAAATATATCCGAATGCTCCACATGAAAATGTGGTCTTCCGACCTTTTACCATCGTGTCGATTTATTTTGATTAATATGTGCCAGGGAGAGAGAGCAAGACAGCGCTTAGGAGACGGTGAAGCCTTGTTTACACTTTCGCCTGGCTCCGAAGAGAGAGAGTGCGCGCGCGCGACCTGGGCTCTCTCTCTCTCTCTCTGCTCGTTCTTCAGTTAAACATGCGCCCGTCACACGCGCAGCAGTTCGTCTACATTATTCACCCATCAAATAAGACTATGATAGATGATGCAGACATCTTCTCCCTCTCCCAGACAACAGCTCACTTTCTTGGGATTGCGAGTGAAAGGGGGCGGGGATGGGTGACAGCGGTAACAAAAATACATAATTAGCAATGAGTCCCGTTATTGCTTGGATTTGAATCAGTACGTTTTACATACAATAAAAGCAAGGATGTTAACAAAAAAAATAGACAATATACTGGAAATTTAGTGATATTTCCACAGTTATGGTCTTGAAAAAAAAAATCCCGAGTCCTCAATGTCCGAGACCGAGACAAGACCGAGTACAAATGCGGTCGAGTCCGAGACGAGACCGAGACCATCAAAAAGTGGTCTCGAGACCGGTCTCGAGACCAAGACCGGTCTCGAGTACTACAACACTAGTTGGTAAATACATTAACTAATGAACCTTATTGTAAAGTGTTACCAATTGAATAGAGTGAAAGCAACAGTGAGTTTCCATCCAAACCTCGCAGATTCTTGATGAAGTCCTCGAGCTTCATCTTGCGCTCCAGCTTGACGTTGGGGCTGTACATGTCTGTGTTGAGGAGGATGATGGCGAATGCCATGATGAAGATGGTGTCAGGGTTTCTGAACTGACGGACCACATCAGGGTTACAGATGCAGTAGCGCTGGCTAAACACACACACACAACACACATCATTCCATCTCTGAATGCAATGAACATCATCTTTTGACTATTAGTGCTGTAGCATCTTTGGCTGCTTGATTATCTTTTTTACCTTGTTTCTAATTTACTTCAGAATTATGTCAGAGATAAAACCTGCATGGTTCAGTGAAGTAGATGCGTGTTTGGTGATGCGACAGCACCTGTAAGCCTCGATCAGGCGCTCCACCTTCTGTGCTTCTCCCTGAACACGGATCTGAGCCTGGAATTTCCTCAAAGCTTCGTCCAGCTCCATCCCTGAGAAATCCAGCTCATCCACCACACAGCTGACACAGACACACACCACGTCACATGCCACGTCTACACAAACCTGTGGCTTACAGCAGGTGGCCTTTTGTTCAACACAGTATAAAAGGAAAAACTACATTTATCTAATAACACAATGGGTAAGTAGTATGAAAACACTTACTCTAAAACATCCCTATTGAACTGTTTCTGCCGGTTCCCCAGGAACTCCCCGATCATCTGTCGACTCAAGCCTTTCCTCTGCAGGAAAAAGTGTGCGACTCCCACGGGAGTGTCGGGGATAAAGCCCCTCTCCGTCAGGTACTGCACTCCCTTCTCTGGCTTTCTGAAAGCAGAGGAGCAGCTCAAGTTAACGTCTTGTCCTTCTGAACACTCAATCATAGCCGATACTGGACATGCAGAAGGAAACAGAAATGCAGTTATTTAGAATTAGCACTCAGCGCATTCACACAGAGATAATATGCACCTCAAACCAGAGGTTCTTCTGGTGATAAAATGTGTATTTTGTGTAAATATTATGTCATTGAAATACATACTTATTGAAGAGGTTGAGGCCAATGCGGTATTGTCTTTTCCGCATGAGATCGCTGCTGAAGGCCGGAGAGTCCCAGCTGTTGCGAGTGTCTTTGTGGTAGGTCTGCTTGCTGAGACTATCTCGAGATGAGGATTCTGAGTTTATTGTGTCAATGGAGTTTGAATTGCTGTTGAGACTGTCATTGTCTCCATCTGAAAAGTCTGATTCTGTCTTGCTCTGCCGGTTGCCGTTGGTAGGAAGGTGGCTCTCCACCTGCCGGTGTCTAAGGGGCTCTTCGTCTTGAGAAAGCAAGGGAGCTCTGGGAGGTAGTCCATGTGAGATGGTTTTGGGACTGGCCTGTGGTCCTGCTACGGTTCGTTCGTGGTTATTTTGTGGCTGGCCCAAGCCCTGGCTTGTATCTGCTGAGCTGTCACTGGGAGGCTCGATGGTCAACAGGGGTAAGTCCATACAGAGCTGCGGCCCTTGGCCTTCGAGGGACGGAGGGCTCCTGTAGCTAGTGTCCCTGTCCACCTTGTCCTCCTTGGCCCCCGTGGACCAGTACTCCTGCGAGGAGCCGCCGGACTGCTCAGCCTGGGTGCTGGAGGGCTGGTCAGCGCAGCAGGAAGGCTGGACCGGTGGGGAGAGCTCCTCTTCATCGATGAAGAGTGTCACGTCACAGATCTCATCCAGCTTGTGCTGCTCATCAGGCTGAGGGAGCTCATCTTCCTGGCGCAGACAAACTGCTTGTTCAGGCTGGATCTCCTCTTTGCGTAGACTACGGCAGTTCAGTGCATCGTCAATTGACTCCGCCAGTGACTTTACTTGCCTTGAGAAAGTGTCCTCTAGCTCTGTGATTGTATCTGTTAAATCGTTTTGAGGTTCTGGGGCTTCCAAGATAACAGGAACCATCTCTCCAGCTTGAGCCATGGCTCCTACTTGGCTGGTATCCTCCAGGAGAGACATTTGCTTGCCCTCAAAAACAGAGCCGTGGACTTTCTCTCCTCCTTCAAAGGAAAACTGCATCCTCATGTTGGACAAAAGAATCCTGCGGGACATGCGGTTCTCCGACATACAACTCCGGAGGCGTTCAAAGTTCTTGTTCATTTGGTGTCGGCGGAAAGCTGTCTGGATGGTGCGTGCAGCATGGCGGGTTATGAAACGGCCCCCGTATTTCCGCTCAAGCATTTCCACCTGGAAAAACCAGGAAATATACGTTTTAGATAGTATCACAACAAAGTGATTAGGGTTAATTAGGGGGTACAACACACATAAACAATAGTGTTTAGAGTTAAACAAGATGAGGCCAGTTCCAAAACACAACTTTAGTGATACTCATGACTGTGGACACTACAAAATGCAGTATATCTGGTCCAGTACTGATTAGCCATGACACTGTACCTTCTTGTCCTGCAGGTCTGTGGAGAGCTCATAGCTTTCAGAGAGGGAGCGTGAGCGTTTGATGGCCTCCTCCTCTGCCTGCTTGCGGAAGATAGACTGAGAGTGTTGTAGTTTGGGTCGCTGTGGGCGCTGTGGGCCCGACTGGATGCTGTGGCTGTACACTGAGCCCTCAAACTGGTCAGGACTCAAGGAAGAACTGTGCGGGACAGGGCCACGGCCATATCCTATGCTGGTGTCCAAGGAAGGGCCAGGCTCACTGTTTTGAATATTCCCCTCCACACTAGACAAGACAGGAAAGCAAGACATGTAATACACATTGACATGGTACACTGGGTTTCAATCACTAACAAGGTTTGCAAGGTTCTCATGCAAACTTTCTGCTGGCTTCAGAGCATGTGCTTATTTATGCAAAAAAAATTCTGGTAACACTATTTTGAAGGTCCACTTTAGACATTCTACTAACTTTGCAACTACATGTCAATAGCAGTCATTAGAGTATTAGTAGACTGTCTGCTTTATTTGATGCTCCAACAGACATTCTACGGACTTTGCAAGTACTTATACTGTCAACTTATTCTACTAACCCAAACCCTTAAAGCTAAGCCTAAACTGACAGTCTACTAATACTCTAATGAGAGTTAGTTGACATGTAGTTGCAAAGCTACTTATAGTTAGTAGAATGTCTGAAGTGGACTATCAAAATAATGTGTACCCTGTTTTCTTACCCTTACTAATGTTGATGAATCCATCCAAGTGTACAGTCATTAGCAGATCTCTATGTCAATGCTTCCCAAACCTGCTCCTAGAGGCACACCAACTCTACACATTTTCAAACTCTTCCTGATCAGTCACATCTGATTCAACTCATCAGCTCATTAGAAGAGACTTCAAGACCTGAAATTGATGGGTCAAATAAGGGAGATATCCAAAATATGTGGCTCCAGGAATAGGGTTGGAAAACACTGCTCTGTGCTCTCTAAAGATGCACTCTTACCCAAGATCTTCAAGTTAAACCAAGTATCCCATTCCTAGTACCAGCTGAGATATAAAAATATACTTAATATACTTCTTCTGTGATTGCATTTTCATGCTGAACTTATCCCAGAGGCCATTCACACTAAACCTGTTTTGGTGTAAACCAGAAACATCCGTCTAGTGTTAATATAGTAAACAATGTAAAAGCAGCGCAGTGTAAAGCAAGAGCCGTTCTGTGCAAACATCCCCCTTGTTTATGCCGCTCCAGTGATGTCACTCCTGTTAGATCAATCTGTGGCACCAGGTCACTATTCCATCACAACTAGCAGGTAGTTAGAGAAATCAAGCTGTTCAATGCTTCACCGATCGAAGAATGAGATGCAGTGTTTCTGATGGTTTGCCAGCCACTACAGATATTGTTAAGAGCATGGACATGCCATCACTTTCGCTTTGTTCATATTCAACACTTGTGAGATTATTGCTGATTACTTATTAAAAAAAGTCTTGATTTCCGCTCTGTTAGCGTTTGAACAGCACATATGGCCTGATTTCCAAGACTAAGGAACTGCTAAGGAATGCATCAATATTATTATTTATTGCTCACGCTTGGTCCTGCACTGTTTGTCCCAGAGACCTGGATGACAACACAAATCATGCAGCTTGTGAACGAGAGCTGAGTAACTCTTCAAAGCAGTCAGATGAAACAATGGGCTTAAATTGAGTGATGGACAAACCAAAATATCAGAGCGATATTCTGGCTTGGGTCTATTTGCATTTGGTCCAGTAAGCAACTACTTAATAAGCCACTAGCCACCAAAAGGAAACCTAGCGACAACTTAGCATTGTGTTGGCGAGTTTGCACAGCTAGGGTTAGTTTTTTGGTGGAAATGTATAATAAATTCATATCAATATCCAACAACTGAGGGGGAAAAGTAAGAATATAAATGGATCAATTAAAACATCTTTTTAATAGCAGACTTGTTTGAAAATCTTCAAGTATCCCAGAGAACAACTGAAACAAACATTTATGGTAAAATTACATTTTGTTTAGAGGCCTAACCAGAACGGATCCGTTCAAATTCTATTAAATATAAATATATTGAAGTGATATATTGAAGTGATATTGAAATATATTGAACAGCAGACCTGTTTACACTGCAAGTCAGGCATGTGTCCTACAGTATATTTACAAGATTTTAGACCACAGTAAGAGCATATTTACATGAACATTACTCACTAACTCTTACTCTCTGCAGTTTTTCGATGTGAATGTCGTCCAAAGAAAGATCTCTTGCCAAAGAAGTCCAGTTTCTTCTGCTTATCTGCCATTATGAGCCACAAGTTCAAAGGTCAGCTCAGTTTCCCGAACAGAGACAAAGTCTGCTCTGATGAAACCAATCATTTACAAACCAGCACATCACGCTTGACGTAGAGCCACAAACTCGCTTGCATGCAAAACGATTGTTCATGTAGAAAAGAAACTTCCTTCAACAACGTCCTCCTTCAGGTCATGCCTGCAGTCACATGCAGCACTGTACAAACAACAGTAAACAGACAGGAGAGGCGGACCTCTAATGTAAACCTAGCACACCTTTATGCCATCACGTGAAATACAGTGGACTGTATGCACAGCTTTTGTGAAGTACTGACATTAGGCTGTTCTAACTAATCAAATACACACTAGTGGCACTTCATCCTAAATATACCTTCAGTCTTCTTTAGCTTTAAGTTACAATCATCTTTGATTACAAGCCTTTTACACATCTTCAGTTTAATATTTTGTTGATATGTTTAACAGAATGAATGAAGCTAAATAAATGGCTTCTATAAACACACTGGTATCCTATAAGATAGCATTAGTGAGTAAATAGTGGTGGTGTTGAAATATCAACGCTGGCTATCAGACTCCACTTTCCAATACCTCATACAACCCATGTCAATACAAGTACGGTGCAGGATTGTTTATTCCTAATTATGATGTATGTCAGCATATTATAAAAGGAAACAGGGTGAAGATTTCAGTGACCAAGACAGCAGGACTAGTGGCATGTCCACAAATACACACTTACATACATGTCAACACGTACAGTACATGCAGTCATGGTGAAATTCACAGTTCTTGCGTAATATCTCTAGAGATGAATCTCACGCACCATCTGTCCTGGCAAACACTGCCACGTTCCTCTCGCGCGGGTGGCGAGTCTACCTAGTGTTCACACACAAGTGCCAGCACTCAGTGTCATATCAGCGAGGGTGAGATGAGGAACAACCATAACTGATGATGATTTATATCGTACTTAGAGATGACTGTAACGTGTAAAGGATAAAGATGCAGAATCCAAAATATTATTAAGGAAAATTTAGTTTTAAATGACACAAATGACCACAGACCCTGTCATTCGTTGACCAACTTTTGTCGCTTCTGGAGCAACTGGATGCCATTCATTTTCAACAAGAGCTGCTTCAATGTTTGGTGACACACGTGACAAAGTTGCACAGCAGAGCTCTAATGCACACAGTGGGAATGACTGCGTGACTCCCTGACTACAAACTCAGCTCTTACCAGCTTACACATGCCTATCCTCTATCCTCATCTGAGTCGAGATCGCGGGACAGGTCCCATTTTCTCAAAGTAGTTTCTGATCATCTGTATCAAAATTAGCTGGAGAAACTCTATGGCCATTATGTGTATCATATTTTAAAGGGTTAGGTCACCCAAAAAATGAAAATTCTGTCATTAATTACTCATCCTCATGTCGTTCCAAACCCATAAGACCTTCGTTCATCTTCAGAACACAAATGAAGATAATTTTGTTGAAATCCGACACTTTCCGATCCCTCCATAGACAGCAATGTCATTGACACTTTCAATGCCCAAAAAGGTAGTAAAGACACTGTTAAAATAGTCCATGTGACTACAGTTGTTCAACCTTAATGTTATGAAGCGACGAGAAAACGTTTTGTGCGCGATAGGGCTGCCCCCCAATAGCTGACTCACCATTAGTCGACTAGAAGAGGCTCGGTCGACTAGGATTTTATTAGTTGGTTAGTCCTAGGGAAAAAAAACCTGAAATCTGGTGAAACTGGTGAAATCACGAAAGCTGTGACTGACAGATTGTTAACGGCAGGAAATCCAAAAATTCGCCTATTGTTTTTCGACCTCAAATATGGCTCATCACTTCAACATGTAAGTAGCAGCAACTTTACAAGTCCACTCGCTCTAATGTTAACACAAATGTGGCTATTATTAGGGGCATATCCAAGCGTTTGTGCGGAGAGCGCACGCTTGAGTGTCTGTGTGTGTGCTATAGAGTGAATGACTCTTGTAGTAAAGTCATTTCCCCGTCACAGGCCACAGTAAAAAGGAACAGCTGTTGTATGATTGAGGGGAAAATGAAGAACAGTGTGAGATGACATCATTTCCTCTTCAGGTTTTCATTACAGTATACAGACAAAAGCCCCACAGTCTGAACTGAGTTTCTTAGAGTAAATCAAGAGTGGCCACCATAAACACTAGATCCAGAATTTGGCATTTTTTGTTTTGTTTTTGTCAATAGTTCATTCAAGGAAATGTTCTTTTTGAGTCTCACATGAGCATTCAGACTGAATGTAATAAACTGTGATAAACATGTGTGTCTGTGTGTACCTGGTAAACCCTTCTTTATGGGGACCAAATGTCCCCACAAGGACAGCCAGTTTTGGTTAATCACACTAAGTTATGTTTTTTTAAATGTAAAAATGCAGAAAGTTTTCTGTGATGTTTATGTGTGTGTGTGTGTGTGTGTGTGTGTGTGTGTGTGTGTGTGTGTGTGTGTGTGTGTGTGTGTGTGTGTGTGTGTGTGTGTGTGTGTGTGTGAGAGAGAGAGAGTGCAGGACGACATGGTGTCTGTCAAAACATCCCCGCTGGGTGTCTGACGAATAGCAGGATTCCTGCATTCCAAGTGTAAAGGTGGATGAGAAAAGGGCAGGAAAAATCTTTGGGAGTTTTGGGAGTCCATCACGTTAATGAAGAGCAGATTTCATTCGTGTGTGTGTGTGTGTGTGTGTGCATGCCGGTTGTCTCAAGTGGATTTCCATATGTGCCGGCACCACGCCGCAGACCAGAGACCCATTTGTAGTTTTACTGTAGACGGCTTAAGAATGAACCAGCCAAACACAACATCACATATAACACATACAAAGGCCCCAAAACTATCTGGATACTTTAGCCACAAAGCCACATTTAAAAGTCAAGTGAATAAGATAACTAGAATAAATGCAAATTGATTTGTTATTTAAAGAAAGAAAAAATAAATAATTGTGATCAGTGTGGGGGAAAGTTACTTTTAAAAGTAATACATTACAATATTGCATTACTCCCTAAAAAAATACACTAACTGCGTTGCTTAGTTACTTTTTATGGAAAGTAATGCACTATGTTACTTTTGCAGTACTTTCTTTCACCTGGGCTGGGTTTGTTTGTTTGTTTGTTGGTTTGTTTGTTTGTTTGTTTGTTTGTTTGTTTGTTTGTTTGTTTTAAAAAAGTTGTATTTTGTCAAATGTAAAAACCCTTTCACACCAGAAGTGACCTGAATAATCCTCAGGCTGAAGGATGCAGATTCACTCCTGCACAGCAGAGGGCGCAGTTACACAACCCTTCAGCTGCTGTCTTTCTGGACCACAGGAGAAGAAATGCAACACTCTTACTTCAGCAATAAAACAAAAAAAGACGTTTTCGTGATTCATATGGTGGACTTGGATTATCGAAGGTCAGCAGCAAAGACATTGGTTAATAAAGTGAGATTAAAAACAAAGTATATTTGTGTTATTTAACATATTTAACTACTGCACGTTTGCGTAATATTCTGAGTTTGCCTTTGGCAGATTTTATTCATTTTGAGAAACACTGAATCTGTGTTTGTGTGTATGATTATGTACCATAGTGTTGTAACCCAACTATAGCTACGTTTACATGCATACCTTTTGTTTCATTCAGACTGGATTCATGAATTCATTGTAGTGTAACATGAACGCTGATAAATGATCACACTGCACAAATACTCGCACAATAACCACTCTTCTATACTGCTTCTTTTCTGTTTCAAAGAGCACTTATTATCTCTTTCAGGCCCTGATTAGAGACGAAGAGCACATGAAGAGCTGTGCTGCTTATATTTATCAAGTAGTAGAAAAAGACCCTTCCCGGACCCAAAGCGAGGTGTCTGGATAGGAGTCCGAAACGAGGAGGACTACAGGGATGCTGTCCTGCTCCTCTTCACAGACTTTTAAAATGACGGGACAGTACGTCATTACGTCATGTCTACTTCATTGCACATGCGCAGTTCCAGTTTTCAATGCGATCGAGTGTTTACACATCCTCTCGATCGGATTAGAGAAGGTTTAAACCACCCCTTACAATCGGATTTGGCCAACTCATTCTGGTTACATGCGAGTCTATTATTCCCACTGTGCTACTAGTCTGATTATTGGGTCCATGTGAACGCAGAGGCTGACCGTGACACTGTTTGTTGTCAGACGTTAGTAAGAACATGTCCATCCGCAGCTGTGTTGTGATGAGCTCTGTTGTGTGTGAACGGACGGATCTGCTCGACACTGGTTGCTTAAAGTCAGTGCAAGGGTGATTTTGAAAAGTAAAAAATCTCTAGCAGAATTAGTTTACGGGTGCAACTTAAAAGCTGTAATACTCTGAAGCCTCTACTGTATAAATATAAGACCTCTTGCAGTTGATCACTGAATTACTGGATGATACAATCTCTGGCACTCAAAAGAATCACACAGACATCAGATAACCAGCACTGTTAGAGAGACTGTCCCGAGTTAAAGGGTTTGCTGACCGCTGGCAGAGGAAATGAGGTGTGTGTGTGTGTGTGTGTGTGTCCTCCAGCAGAGGAAGCAGCCGGTCCCTGCTGATCTCTCTGTTATCTGGCTCAGCACATGTGACATGTACTACACAACACTACACAACAACTCAAAGCTCAGGCCCCGGTGTCCATCACCACAGGACAAAAACAGGCAAACTCCACTAAAGTTAGAAAACAAACAGCAACTTTAATGTGAAAATCCTTACGCAATGAAGCTTCCAATATCTAACAGAGACCTCTTCCACAACAACAGTGGACATTATGAATAAACCATAACATGAGCTTTTAAAGTGCTCCTCTGCACGAAAACCTCCAGTAAGACGTCTACCTTCAGCTGAGGACATCGCTGACTAATAAATAACCCATATATGTTCAGTTTCACACGGTCTCTTCTCTTGTGTTCGAGAGGGACTGTCATGTAACACTGGATCTCTCCGCTGGATGGGCTAAAAACACCTCCATTCATGTGATCATCTCATAAATATAGAGCAAGTAGACCAGTGCTACAGAGACCAGAGAGACCCAGTGAAACCAGGTCAACATCGTGTGTGTGCTTCTGT